AGGATATGTACTCTCCATTTAATATACGAAAAAAAAAACAGCATTTATAACAAAAAGGTAATAATATAAATTATGTTCTATCCAGTAAAATTCTATGAAGGCCCGAATAGCTAAAGTAGATCTAGCAGCAACTTTAAATGAAAAAACAAATTGCTTAAAATCACGCTTACGTGATCTAGCAAAAGTAAGGGCTCTAAACTAGAATAAGAAATTTCATTGAAAATTTAGAGCAAGATTTTTAACAACCCCCGTTATATACATTTAAGGAAAATTTTCGCCGAATATTCCTATTTTTTTTAACACATTTATTTTAAATTTTTAAAATAAAAGTAAACATAAAGCTACCTTTAAATAATTATAAAATTTAATTAAATTAAAGTTTCCATTCATCATATTGTTAGCTAAAAAGATCTAACCAGTTCAGCCCTATATAACTTTTATATATATAACAACAAAAAATTAATTATTTACGTTAAATAAACTATATGAATAAATATAACTATATATATAACATAGTTGTATTTCAATGTAAAAATAATTGGTTTGTAAAAATAATAGTTTAAATTCTTACACACTACGTTGAGTTAAAAGAAAAGGACTATTCTGTCAAGAATGTTTTCAAATCTATTGAGAGTACATATCCATCACCACAACCCACAGCGTTTTATCTTCAATAGACTATACAACATAATATTCATCATTTGTTTGTTTATAGTTACGAAAGGGTCTAATCGTGTTTTATACCATGTTCCACTTACCGTTTCTTAGTTTTTGTTTCCAGTAATATTCTGTCAATTCAATTTTTTTCTCTGGTCACTTAGCACTCAAATATTTTAAATAAGTCTATTGAATATTTATATACTATATACCTAAACAGAACTGCCTGGGAGAGTATTCCATTATTTATGCTCCCAAATTTATTAACATCCTGCCTTAGAATCACATACTTTTCATAAAATACCTTTACATATATATTGTCCTTCCTTTGTACATCGATATGTTTATACATACCATTAAAAAAACCAAACCAAGATTTATCCAGTACTTACATATTCCTTATACTTAGAGCTCTATTAACCTATATCGTTTCATGATTTTTCGAAATAGTGAAACTCCAATAAAAGTAGTGAGCGGTACATAATCGGCATAAGCGTTTGGTTTAGAGCTATAAAATGCAATCTTGGGGAATGCTTCCATACCTTTGGTAGTATGGTAGATATATTATACTGCTTCTGGTACTTTAGAAGTATTATCTGTTTTAAACCACATACAGAAATCCGGTACTACCACCTAACGTAACTTGTCATCTATACCATATGTTGTTTAAACTAGTGCTCTAAATATTGTTTAATCTGATCGATTTTGTGTTCGAGTATGTTTGTGACCAAGCGCTGTGAGCGGTTTGAATATATTGGATCACCATATTGAGGTCGAGAATTAATGCTATACATATTTATATCAAAGAAAAGGAAAATGAAATAACAGAATTAGTTGATAAGTTGTCCGAAAAGTTAGAAATTGAAAGTTTTCAATCCAAATGTTCGAAATAGAGTTTACACGAACTGCTCGATTATTATTATGCTCGTTGAAAGTGCTAGTATAGTTTATGCCTGTATAGGATCTTTTTTTCAGTAATTTTTAAATTTGTGTAAATGATTGGTATTTTCGGAGATGCTGGATGGAAAGATGTTTAGGCAAACCTCATGTCACTACAACTCTATACAATTTTTTTCTTATAATTAATTTTCTTAATAATCATTTTAAGTGTTTAAATCTCAAGAAAAAAACCTATAGAGTGTGGTAAATCTCTGGTTTCACGTAAACTTCTAAGCCATAAATACACATTATAAGAAATAATAACTAACGCCATTACTTAACATTTCCTTATATACTCTTATTTACCTAAAGACTTTTGAAAAAGTAGTCTACAAACCTATAAATGATAAGTTTACAAAGGAGAAATACAAAGGCCCTATTGTACAGAGACAAAGATGCACTGCTACTGGCGGATTCAAAAGGATTTGTTCATCGTTCTTTTTAAATAAAACAACAATTTTTTCGAATTTAAATATATATATTAGCAATTTTTTTCTTCTCTTGACGTAGCTTAATATATAATTTTAACGCACGCTTATATATTTATCTCCTAAAACTTAAGATATAAAACTTTTATTAAATAATTTTGAAATATATGTATATATATTATTTTTTATAAATTTTAGTTTTTATTTTTAAACTTATAATTTGAGTATTAAATTCCTTATATGATATTAAATCCGGTATCACCAATTTTTTTCTTTTTTTTCATATAATAAATTTTTAAAATATTGTGCGAATAAGTTTTCATAGAGCTCATTTTTGTTTTGTTTATTATATGGAATTTCTTTTTAATTTAAATTACAAAATAATTTCCTTTCGTTTACCTTTGCTTTTAACTCAAACCACTATGAAATCCTGAAGGTTTATTGCTTTCATTTATTTCTTTATATTTGTTGTAAAAAAATAAAACAAATACTTTTATTTAAATAATTTGTTTTTTATTTGTATACTTTTTATTTTGAGAGGGTTGATTTAATTATTTTGTTTGATTTTTTTTAGTAAATTACACGTAAACTAAAATTTTAAATTAATTTGTTTTTACATGACCTGCAGTTTTAAAAGTACTGTAATTTATAAATTATAATTTTATATAAAATTTAAAATAAAAGTTATACATGGTTTTTAACATAATTTTGGGTTAAAAATAGAAAATAAAATAAAAATGGATAGAAGAAATAATAATTATTTTTTTTAAATAATGTAAGTTTTTATTTATATTAATATTTTTTTTTCTTCTTTTTTGACTATAGAAAAATTTTTTAACATTAAAAAAAGAAAAAATAAAATTTAAAAATAAAAACAATATATAATTTATACATTTTATATATATTCATTTTTTTTAACGTTATAAGAAAATACGTTTTTCTTAATTTCTTTTTTTACTTTAATAATTTACTTTAAAATTAATTCTTTATATATATACGTATATATTTAATTTTTTTAAACTTTTTGTGTGTTGATGATAAAATGTTCGAACATGATTTTAGGAAGTAGAATTTATGAATTTGATGCGGAAAGGCAACGACAATACTTTTATTATAAAAAAATTAAATATTTAATATCGAAAGATGTACTTCAAATATTTGTTTTTTTTTTTAATAATAGTTTTTATATATTTTATTTATAGTTTAATAATTTTTTTATTCAACCTGCAGTATTTTTAAATGTAAATTTTTTCTGTTGCAAAACTAGATTTTAAATTAATTTTAAAACTATTATTTATGAGTTATTATTTAAGTTTAGTTTTCTTCAACTTCTCAGATATATTAATATGTTAGAACTTTTTTTAATTATATATAAATGTATGTTATTTAATTTATTTTAAACTTTAAACTGATGTTGAAAAATGAACTACATTAATTTAATTTTTATTTTTTTAATTTAAATAAGTGCCGTCAGCATAAATGTAAAACTATAGTATATATATTATAAAAATTGAAATTAACACGCACGCAAAGCACCACCCAAATACTTATTTAAATAAAAAAGCAATATATATATATACTTTCGTTTTTCAAATTAAAAATACATTTTTTTTTGTTAATTTTTTTATATAAATAAGAAATATTTTCAAAACTGGTGTCAATAAAATCCTCCCGTGTTTGTTTCACATGCATCATTCTCTACTTTGTAATATACTAAAATTGGTATCAAGCACATCTTAAAAAAATAAAATTTTGTACTTCCAGCGCAGCTTGATTAAAACAACTTTTGAGCACCATACATAATTCATAATTTCCTAGAAATATAGCTGCATGACCTGACCGTTTCTGTACTAATTTCCAAGTGTCATATATATATAAATACATTTAAAACATATAACATATATAACTTTTCATTTTACATTTATGCTGATAAAAACACTAGTTCGACATTTTTTTTTTATTTTAATTTGTAGTTTTTCCATTTTTTTTTTATTTTTTTCTTTTTTCGCTTTTTTTTATAAACATACGAACTTTTTAATTTTACAAGTCTTTCTTTTGCTTTTTTATTGCATTTTTGTTTTAATTTCTTTAATATATATATATATATATATATGTATATATTTAGTTTTAATTATGTTTAATTTAAACAGATTTTACGGTTTTCTTCATTAACTCGAATTTAAGCTATAAAAATGTTTATTTATTTGGGAAGTTATGTTTTTTTTTTGTTTTGTTTTATGAATTATATATAAAACTAGTAGAAAAATAAAAGAAATAAATAAAATATAATATAATATATTTTTATAAAGAAACAAAAACAAAAAATGTTTTAACTTCATTTTTGACTTGTTAGTAAAAAGATAGATAAAATAAAAGCCATTTTCACATTAATTGAAATTTAATTAAAAAATAAAATACAGTAAAACTATTTTTAAACATAAAAACAGTTTTACTGTAATACGATTTCAGTTTTTATGTCACTCTCACACAATTTTTCACACATTTTTTTTTAAATTTTTTTTCAATATTTATACAGACTTCATATATATTTATAATTTATACAAAAGAAAAAATTTAATAAAAATAAATTTTTTTAAAATAAATTAACAATTATTAACAAAATTCGAAGTACAAATCGCGCTCCAAGGCACAAACAGTAGCACATTTGTCTTGTATTCCAAAACGGTTATATTCCGAACGGTTATAATATGTTTAATATAATACATAAAAATATAGTTTTAAATAATAAATTAACACCGCACAAGTTAATTCTAGTTGAAATACAAATACATAATTGCTAACCGTAACCGGAGCACAATTTTTACGATTTTCAAAATAAAAAAACAAGAATATTTAAAAAAGTATTTAACACAATAAATCAGAATTTATATGAAATTAGTAAGTAAAGTTAAAAAAAAAAAATAATTAAAAATTACAAAAACAAATCATAGTTTTTTAATAAAACTAAAAATAAATTTTTTAATTATTATTACATATAATATATTATTCTACTGTTGTCTAGGCGGTGTTGTTGTTGTAGTTACAGCTTGATTACCTGCTGTATAGCGTAGCTGGTGGTGTGTTGGTTGCGTATGAAAGAGATATATTAATGGTTAGCGCCGTCCACCATAACTGCCACCAACTGTTTGCGCATTGTTATTGCTACCGCCACGTATTTGTTGACCACCACCGCTGTTATTAGTTGGACCACTGCGACTGTCGTTACGATTAAAAGTACCGCCAATGCGTGGTGCACCACCGGTCGATCCTCCACGTTGCATATTATTATTGCCGGAATTGTTGTTACGCATCATGCCACCACCGCCGCCAGCGGAATTGGATAGTGAACGTGATGGAGGACCACCACCTAAATTGTTACGCTGCGAATTACCATTATTATTATTCATGTTGTTACCCATGCCTTGTCTTGGCATATCATTTTGACGGGAACGAGGTTTTTTCTCTTCAACATTGAGTTTTTGACGATCAGACGAAGTAGAATTTTCCGGGAAATACAATGGCTATAAATATATTTTAAAAATATATATTATTATATTATACATAGTATATTATATATTTTTACTTTACATAATATATATTTAATGAAAGATTTAATCTATTTAAAGATAGACAGTTTATAAATATTATATAGAGATGTCATATATGTTCATATATATTTTATGAAGAATTTAATTGATTTAAAGATAGACAGCTGTTAAATATTATCTATTATATTATATTATAATATTATAAATATTATATGTCTATTTCAATTTATTTCAATATCTCATTTTAAATAAATTATTATTTTATTGACTAAAAATTTTTTTTCTTAAACAAGCTAACTGTTTTTTTTATTATAAAAACCTACTACATTCCTAGAACTTAGTTTCTAGAAGTAATTAGAAAAGGACTGTGACGAGAGAACATAATACATACGTTGAAAAACCGATTTTAGCTACTGCTTTAGTATTTTATTTGTTGGCGTTTATAATATAGTTCCAAATGTTAATTGTTAGCATCATATTAAAGTATACTTTATAGACTAATAATGATACTGACTGTATATAATACTAATTATATAAATCATATACTCTGAAGATAGACTATAGTTAACATATCGGTAATAATAAAATATTTTTTAAAACTAATTTAAAAAGTTGTGTTTTATTTATTATTGACTTCATTCATCCTTACAAACATATAGAAATAAAATTTGTTTATTAAAACATTCACTCTCGGGTTAACTAATACCTGACCTGATATAATGAATCCACTGAATAACGAACAATCAAGTACTTGTAAATAACAAACTCATACAAAATGTTCTCTATAAATAACGAATGTTGCGCATCAAATGCTTTTGAAAAAACAAAAACCTTGAAATTATAACTTTCCTTATATCGACAATCTACTGTAAATAATAATACATAATATATAACTTCATAATATAGAGTTATACACAATAATATATAAATATTGAACATATAAATTATAATATATAGCTTCATAATACAGAGTTATACACAATAATATATAATCAATCATAATAATATACATATAGTAATACATAATAATGCATTAACAATTTCACATATCTTATCTCTCAATATCTTAATACTTACACAATTATTCAGACAATTCTGAACAGAGCTTGGGTCCTCATAGGTTATAAAACCATAGTTAAGGGGATTTCTTACACCTGGAGCGAGTTTTCCGCCAGCCTTCGATAGTATTCTCAATTCCAAAACTGTACCGAATCGTTCGAAAAGAGCTTTGATTTCCTCATCAGAAGCGTGGTGCGGTATGTTGCCTAAGAACAATTGATGATTATCGCCAAACTGTTGAGCATTACTTGTTCTACGCTGTTCAAAATCTGAAAACACATAATTTATTTTATATATTTACTTATTATTGTTTAATATATTTAATTATTATTATATACCTTTATTCATTCTTCCAGCATTATTTCTTTGAGGCAAAGGTCCGCTACCCTGCTGTGATGACGACCCAAAACTGTTATTATCCGAGCGTAAAGATGAATTGTCATTATTGCGATTACTATATGTGGACATTGAGTTATTTGAGTTTGAAAATTGAATTGAAATCATGGAGTTAGGCTGGTAGTTGTTATTTACAGATTGTTGTTGTTGCTGCTGATGCTGTTGCTGTTGGAGCTGTTGTTGTTGTTGAAAAGCTGCATTTACAAAACCACTGGGTGAAGACGAAGTTGATTTAAAGAGATTTGCATAAGTTTTGGGCTCATTTTGTTGCTGTTTAGCGGCTTCATATTTCTCTTGTTGTTGTTGTTCATTTATGGTCTTAAAATCATCAACAACGGGAGCTGGTTCCGTATTTCGCACATTAACTTCACTGTTGCTAATTGTTGAATTGACATTGTTTGAATTTAATGACTCATCGATATCAACACTTACTGCACCACTTTGCTGAGGACTTTGGGATTGTAATAGTGATTGTTGTTGTAATATTGGTTGTTGTTGCTGCTGCTGTTGTAATGCTTGCGGCTGCTGTTGCTGCAACAGTTGTTGTTGCATATGTGATGACTGCTGTTGAAAGCCTTGCAATGTGTTTTGAGGTAAAACAGCAGCACCTGCAGCAGCACTTGCCACGGGGACAGCAGCAACACCAGTTGGAGTTTGTGCTGTAATGACAGCCGGTGCAGCATTAGTGGACTGTACAACAGGCGAACTACCAGTATGAGCAGCAATTGTTGGTTGAGCGGAATTTTGCTGTTGAATGCTTGGTAACAAATCATCATGCGCCATTACACCGTTTAATTGGTTAACTGGTGTTGATTGCAATTGCTGTGGTGGTGGAACACCGGGAGTGCCAGCTGGCGCATATGGTGTACCCATTGGTACAGCTGCAGATTGTGGTGCAGCAGCTAGAACAATACCAGCAGCTGGGCGGCCTGCCGTTGGTGGCATCGGATAATAAATCGTTTGCTGTTGAGGAGTAGCTGCTTGTGATTGTTGTTGCGGTATTACAGCGGTATTAGCAGCGACAACTTGAGCTGGAAGTGTCTGTTGTTGTTCAGCCACAACAGCAGCATTAACCTGATTTTGTGGTTCATTAGCTGTTACTGTTACCGTTTGCTCATGATCATCATCATTTTCCGAACGTGACTCACCATCATTGTCGTCATCTGAATACATATCCTGATATCTAAAGATGTCATTATGGACGTAGTATTTTTTCGGCGATTGGGCGGCTAAAACAAAAGTTTGTGTAAAACGACGCATCGGTTGTCCATCATTCGATAATTCTCCAGTCACTTGCACAACAACACCATTGCCGAGGGTAGCCTGCGCATCAACTTGACTTATCTTAGCATGACAATCATGAAAGTTCAACTGTTGAATGCGACTGTGGATGTTTTTCTGTCCAATTACCAATGTTGATTCACCATGAATAAACGAAGAATTATTATTATAAAAACGATGCAAATGATTTGGTGCCTTGTTAAGCAGGGTATAGTATTGGCGTACAAATTCACGTCCAACCGATTGTGGTGATGGTTGTTGAGGTTGAGTTGCATCCATTACCATTGCGTTCTTTTACTTTTAATTGGGCCGCAGCTTCGGTATATTGTTTAAATAATGAATTCAATGTTTTGGCAATTGATAAGCGTGTATGCGGATATAAATTTATATAACTGGTGATACTAAAAAATTAAAATATATACATTTTATTAGAACAGTAAAAAAGTTTATGTTTTGTATGTTTTGGAATAGAAATTCATAAGTAAATTAAAATGTAATTTATAATTTTAACAATATTTATTTATTTTTATGGTAATTTAATTTAAAATTGTCACAAAAAAATTGTATATTATGGTTCTACAACTAGATGGCGCTAGATACCCCGTCGAAACAAATCTTAATAAGACAAGAGCTTCAAGAGAATTTTTGTCATTTATTAAATAGCATTGATTGTATATTGTTTATTGAAATTTAACTTTAAACAATATTTTCCAATTTTTTATTATCATAATTTTTCATTTTACGTGATCGAAATTTACAACAACAAAACGTATGGGGATTTGAAAATAAAATTGTATAGGTTAACATAGTAAGGCTGTTCCACGAGCTTCACGTAGTAACTTTGAGTAACACTGTGTATACACAAGTGCGTTTCATCAGTAAATTTTCGAGTAAATGAGAGCATCTGAGGTAGCGTAACATCCCTGTATTTGTATTGTTTATTTGCGCGGCACTAGTGTTGGTTATATAAAACAATTTAAGTAACTAACATTTCCTACACTAACATATAAACAATTCCATCTAAAGCATAAGGATTTCCAATATCTCAACTTTGGACTCCTCAGAATACAACAATTATACGAAATTGAGTGCTCCAATATTCATTAGTATTGCCCTGAGTTGCTGTTACTTGTCGTTGCAGGCGAGTACATCCAGATCGTAAACCTTATATTACTTAGTCATTTATATGATGAAGTAGTAAAGTAATAAACCTGCTAATTGCGTACTACTAGAAGTATAGTACATGTTAAACAATTTTGAAAGGACAAGTAATACTATTTTTCAAATCAATGCAATGGTACTAATTCTAAACACCATTTAATTGTTTTAAATAATTTAATTGTTTGAGTAGGTGTCAACTACATAAGGATATAATAAAGAAGTATGGACTAAACAATCACCAGCGACCAGTGAAAAAAGCTAGCTCAATTGTGGAATAGTTTCGTTTTAAAAAAAGTTGATTTATCAGCAATAAATTTCAACTTCATATTACAATTTTGATTGCTGTAGCGTATTAAAGTGCAGATCAGATATTTGGTTGAAATATCTGATCAGCATTTGATCATCACGTCTGTAAAATGTTTTGTCTTTTAAAATGACACACATTACTGCGTAGAGTTAGTAACTTTAAATAATAAATACCAACTCTTAACTGAAAAAAAAAAATTATTACAGAAAACCATACAATACATACATGTTAAATTATCACTTTATATTGTAATATAGTAGAAATAAGTAATAATAATTTTGATTTTACTTATTTAAGCTAAAATACGTCAAAGATTAGATTTGTCTTACTAATAATCAAAATTGAAATTTTCTGCTTATTAGCCAACATATTCGTTTCCAGTCATCCTACACATTTTATTAAAGCAGAAATATATATTCACTAGTAGAGTAAACGTTGAGTATGCATTAAACAGAAATGATAGAAGTTAATGCAATTCAACAGGAGTGCTGTGCAAATGCACGTCTACAACTCCACAAAACACATATATAACCTTAGTGGAAGAGAAGTTGCTGTGACCCACTTAATTCGACTGATTTATGCCTCAGCTGCGATGTGACAAAGTTGCACAATTTTGCATTTTTTTTTTGTTGTTTTCAATGATAAATGATCATTAAGACAAAACAAAATAATATTTTAAGATCCAATTTTTTATTCATTCATTCCGTCACTTTTTTGAGACGTAAACAAAAACAAAATATTTATCAGTCTTGGATAACAACACAGCTGTAAACCAACCTACACACGCACTACCGCTTTTCTTATGGCATTGCAGTCGAATAGTCTTTGGAAATTGCAGTCTCCATTAAAAAACAAAAAATAAAAATTAAACAAATATTTGGAATAAGAGATGTGTGTTGGAATTAATTTAATTTGTTTATTTTCGCAGGCGTAAGAAAGTACTAAAAGAGAAAATAAATTATATAAAAAAAAACTTCTTCAACATTTCATTTTATTTTTATCACTATAATTCTTTTAAGGTTTTGTTAGACCGGTATAATAATGATATATGTTTTTTAGATAGTGATAAACTACAGACAACTTTTATGTAGAAGACTGACTCCATAAAAAGGAGACGGGTTAGATACCCTACTTGACAATTAACCTTTAACAATAAAATCAGTGGATAAAGCACTGTTAAAAAAATATCTACTAATATATCACTCTTTGGCATAACTCTATGGACTGTGTATAGGTACTCAGAGACCAAATCAAAAAACCCGATCCTTACAAATAAATTGTGTTTCCAAGGTATTTAACAATCATAGATAATTAATTTATAGATGACTGACGTCTTAAAAAAGAGGAGGATAGATTCACTACTTGACAATTAACCCTTAATAATAAAATCAGTAGATAAAGCACTGGTAAAAAAAATATGCCACTATGCTAGCTACTGCAACTTTCAAACTGAAGAGTTGAAATATCTTCTCGATATTGTCTGTGATTGAACTATGCTATCCAAGTTGTATTGACATGGTTCTAAAGGTGGCGTGAATCAGAACTAATTATTTACAAGAACTATAACTTACTAATATATTAGATAGAAACTGAATGGGCTTTAACCACAATAGCGGAAGCTTTTTACTTGAAACCGGTTTCTGATAGAAGAAAACCAGAGAAGAGTATTACGAATTATCTATATGTAATTCGTAATGTTATACATACATATGCAATAACAATTATTACCAACCAGCGTTTCACATAATATTAATTCATGATACCATGAAATGAAGAAATGTATAGTTGGAGAGGATCTATTTATATTGTTGTATTGTAAAATATCAAATTAAACTACATGTAATGGGCTAATGTGAAAAGGATTTTACAGATATTTTTAACAATTTCGATTTTTTTTCTGTGAAATGTTTATTAGAACAGCTTTCAGTTCCTATCTTGACATTTTTTTTCATTTCTTAGGACAAAAAATATCTATGTGAATATATGTATTTATGCATATATGTTTCTCATTTGTGCATAATTTATTTTAAGTACTTATCGTTTGTGTCTGGAACAATTGAACATGAATAAGAATAAGTTATAAAGTATACAATGGTATACGCATGAGTAAAGTAAATGAAGACAGCACTTGCAGAATTTAATTAACTGTAATTCAGGTAAAAAATAGTATTCTCATATTTACTGAGATTTTTAAAACGAAGTTTTCAAGAAAACTTCATTCATAAAAAAAAAAAATGTATGTATATTTGGATCATTTATTCCAGAAATATAGTCCAGCTACCGTTTCGATATAACTTATTTTTACACTGAAGACATTTACTGATTAGTTTAAACAAAACTACAAAATAGTATTTTACATTATTACACTATCCTATAAGCTGTAGAAAATATAATTTCAGAGAGAATATCAATAGGTAAGGTAGGAACCCTATTGTATTTAAAAAAAAACCTACTTTTTAAAGTAGATTCACTAAAGGAACTTGTGTTAATTTTAAGAACTTATTTCCAAGCACTATAAATAAAGGAATATCATATTTTATGTGAAGATTTTTAAAAAAGTTATAGAGCTAGGACATTAAGTTATCACTGTTTAATATAAAGATATTAACTTATATATATAAAGATATATTTTGATATTGTCATTTTCTTTATGAGTTGTTATTTCTAAATATATTACTATTTAACCGCTGATTATGTGCGTATAATTATGTTAATAGTGGTGTATATTTAAAATTAACTAATTTTATGATATCATTTTGCTGCACAAACAAAAAAATAAAAAAGATTTTTGAAATTGGAAAAAAACATTTTATCAATTAATTGCTTAAAACTTAACATAAAAGAAATTCCATTTAATATTGAAACTTTAAATGGAAACTAGAATGCTTAGCAAGCATTCTAGCTATAATCCCATGATTATTATCAGAAGTATTTATTGTATGTGAAAATCACTTGAAATTTACAAGAATTGCTCAGGATTTATATGGAACTGTTTTAAAATTAATTTTATATCTTTAAGTTATGATAATAACTTTTTAATAGTTTCATTTGTTGCAAATATTTACATGTGACACAAATATTTTGGAAAAAATTTATTTTTAGACCAAATTTCATTACCCTTACGCGCAGCAATTTTGTCGTTCTAACTTTTCTTACACTTTTGGGACAAAATTAATGGAACGCATAAAATCACGTTTTATTTCTTTGTTTTCGTACACAAGCACACATTCATAAATTTTATAAAATAGTTCAAAGAAGTTGCCAGAATAATAATAAAGCCTTGCTATAATTATAAATATATTTAAAGATTATTTGTATTGCGAAATTAGAAAAGTATGTATTGCTGACATTTTTTTTAGGTTAGCTCATGCGATTTTAGGCTTAAATAACGCAGTACAAATGCCGGAAAAATGGCAAAACATTCATGACTAAAAACATAGACACAAAGAAAACTTTTTGACTTTGATTTTGTTAAATTTTAAAATTATTTATGAGACCGGCTTTTAATATACAGTTTTATAACTTAAAGCTATGTTTTTTTTTTCTTCATAAAATTAAAACATATTTTATAATTTTTTCAATTCAAACAAACTTACGCAGCTGCAACTGATATCACAATATACTTAATTATTTTGTAAATGCACAATGTAAATTATATTAGTTTGTTTTCTTGTCCAAAGCAAAAATACAATTATGAAAATTTATTCACAAGATAAATAAAAATTTATTTTACATTTTCTTAGCGTTTGGCTTTTTCGGCTTGTTCCCTTCGCTTCTTTTCGTCGTGGAGGTTGTCGTCGCCTTCGTCTGCACAGCTTCTTTTTTTTTCTCTTCTTCTTTGCAATTTTAACTTTTCTATTTATTTTTGGCAATTCTTTTCAAATTTTTATTATGTAATTAAGTTTTATTTATTGATCACAGTTACATATAAATTATTTTCAAAATTCTAATGTTTATTATATTTAATTTAATAATGCGAAAAGAATGCAGCAGCTTTAAAATTGAACAAGTGTTGAATTGAAGTGAACCTCTTTTCGTAGTGCTTCTTTTCTTTTTCGCATGTTCTAATTGCGCGTTCTTTCTATTTCATTCGTTTATTGTTTAAGGTGTATAGATTTGTCCTTTTTACAACAATACGTTTAGAAAGCGCTGAATGTTTCTAGTAGTTTTATTATTTATATGAATAGCAAAGCTTTAGCGGGAAAATGTATAATACTAACACATTAATATAATAAACAAAATTATTGTGGTTGAGTATATACTATATCTAATAATTATTTTACATATTACTCCTTAAACATATTTTTCGTTAGAACTGATAAATATGCTCCATCAACAATGAATTGGTTTTACACACTACTAACTAGTTATATAGATTGCTATTTACAATATATATATATATATAACTAATATATAACATTTATTGTTTTTGTTTCAGTTTTATTAATTTTTTATTCATATTTTAGAGTATAAAACTAATTATTAAATAAAAACATTTTAGATACCACTAAATTTTTCAAAAACCAATTAAATGATTGTTTAGAATTAAACAATAATAAATTTAACTTTTATTTTACAAATTTAACAAAAAGACCTCATCAACAAAAATGTATAAGATTTAGCAAAATGTTGTTATAATTTTTCGTAATTTAAAATATTTATACATTTTTAAATTTTGATTAGTTAATAACACACAAAAGTTATTTTAAACTTCATCCCTCAAACAGCTCTTATGTAAAACCATTTAATATAAGTGTTTATATAATTTGAAATGCTATTTAATACAATATTAAGTGAGATAGTGAAAATAATATGTTTTAATATATTCAAACACTTAAAAACAGTTTTGTAGTAGATAATATTTATGAAAAATAGTTTTAGTGTAATACTTTTCATCAAATTTTTTCTAATATTCTATTAATTAAATTTAATTTGGAAAACTTATAAGCAGTTTGGCTGTATAAAATATATAATAAAATTTTACTACAAAACAATTTACTAAAATTTATTATGGCGTTTTTCGAATTGAATTACAGTGAATACATATATAATAATTTTTTACATTTAGTTTGCTTCGCTAAAAACCTGTTCACATAGGAAATTTTAATTTTTTTAAAATTAATTTTAATAGTTGTGCTCATTAATATTGCATATTTTTCGTTTTTATAAAAATTTACTTTGTATCTAATATTAACAAATTTAAACTAAATTCTATTTTTAAAAAATTCAATTAAGTCGTAATAATGGCTGTCAGAATAATAGCCGTAATATTGTCTTTCAAATATAAAAAATACGGCATTATTTGTGGTTGAAATAAATTGGCATCACTTTTAACATATACTAAATGCTTGTTTTTGTTTTTTGCTGTGTTATGTACGATATGGAAAAAAAAAATTGTAAACAGTAAAAATTAATTCATTTAAATAAAAGAAAAAATGAATATTAGAAGGGCAATTGGAAGTATTTCTATCTTATATATTCAAATTAATATATAATTAATTCATGTATTTATTAGTAAAAGAAATGCTGGATGGAATTGGATTATAATAATTCGTTACGAATAATTATTAATCAAATTAATAATTTGATTTCGTTACGAAATGAATCTAATCACCAAAATTGCAATCAAAACTAAGCTTAGTTGTTTATGAAACTAATATTTATTATAATTAATAACATAATTTAAGTTAAATCTTGCCTCAAAATTTAATAATCAGAAAAGTTTTAGGATTTAATTTTGCAATAGTGCTTAATAAATGAGATCTAGTATAAATTAGTATCTTGATTAAAATATCTAAAATTACATGCATATATTTATGGTCTGTATATATATGGCAACACTTTTACTGAATCAGCAATATTGTTTTCTCTTTCTGTCCATTTAAGCGGCATTTTCAAAGCACTAAAATAATGTATTAAAAGAGCATAGAGATTGTTTTTACAGCATTGCCAAATTTAACATTTACGTATTTGCATAAAAACTATCTAAAAAATATAAAGTGATATATATTTTACAACATTATTCAAGCACTAATGTTCTGTTGCGTACATTATTTATATGCATGTGTTTTCTAATTTTTTATATCATACGTAATATATTACAATATAATTTGTTACTATTCGCAAAATTCAGCATAAATATATATAATGGGTTTTTCAAATATACATTTGTTTTTATATTTGATGGAAATTCGCAATAAATAATTATGAAATCATTTTTGGGCGCCTATAAAATTAATTAATGTGTCTTAACCATCATAATTCTAAATTCTAACTGAATAAATTTTTATAATTAATAAATATATAATTGTTGAATTATTAATGATAGTTAGTTATAAATCATATTAAATAAAAGTATGTATATCAAACAATCAATTATAAAAAAACCTAATATATTTATAAAATTGTTTCTTATCTATGGATATGTATATGTGTATAAATTCAAAAAACAATATGAAATCAAATAAATGAATTTGTATACAAAATTTAATTCAATATATTTGTAATGATTTTTATATGTATTTCAACAAGTGTATAGAATTTTCTATGTAATCAAATGTATTCTTTCAAATTTTCATCAATAATATTGTATATAATCGTTCAGTTAATTTTATGTCTGTGTTTTTAAGTCATTTGATAATTAATTCTAAATAGAATCCGCTTTTCTTTTACAAAAGAAACAAATATATTATCATTTATTTTAATTTGAAAGAGCTGTAAATATTACTATTGAATACATATTGGATTAAATATATATAGCCTAGTCAATTGTAGAAAATAGCCGCTGCAAGGAAAATAAAAATTTTCTCTGTCTAATTAATATTTGTTATTGGTAAGTTCGTTGCACTCTTCTGAATTGACGCTACATTCACATAGGAGAAAAGGAGACAACACCATAAAGAATATATAATACGGTATTCAGCACGTGATTATATTCAGCGAATGGCACAAGTTCACGAAGTATTGCTTACACGAACGCGTCTGTCTTTTCCGGCCATTTGTAGAATCGTCAGTTCACGCAGTATTGTGTGTTAAAAACCAAATATATATATAATAGTATAGTTTTTCTAAAAGTTTAAAGTTCTACAAGTTATTGCAATTTATAAATAAATATATAAAATAATGGCAGATAAAATAAATGATAAAGAATTAAACGGTGGTGAGGATTTCTCAAAAGATGTGACCGCCAACGATGGCGAAAATGGTGGACTTGCTGCCGGCACCACAAATGGCTCAGGCAGCGAATCTAATGCTCGCGATGATGACAGGTATATTTTTCATTTAAATGTTAACATTTCATTTTAAAGTTAATACAATAGTTTAATTTTATATTTTTTCTTAACATGGGAAGTTAGTATATATTAAAAAAATGTTTCTGAATGTGTTACGTAAAAGATGATTGAAAAAAAAAATTTCTCTTAAATTTTTTCTCTTTGCATTTGTGTGACTGTACTTTCAGTACCATTACGTTTATTATAATATTCAATTTAAACTATATTACTATATACGTATCAATTATTTATAATTTGTTATTTGAACTCTAAATAGTTTTCACAGTTTTTTTATAGCTTGTAATTTCGATCGATAAAATTTCGTTAAAAATTATGGGTGGTTTTCTCTGCCCATTCTAATGACGTTATGTACATAAAAATAGATAAATCGAGATTAGTAACATTTTTAGTAAAGTATGGTGATTTAATTTTCTAGCTTGGAGAAATTTATGCAAAAATGAAAAACTGTTTTAATTTTTGTATGTACGTGGAATAGAATCTGCCGTCATTCATTACTCATGATTTTTAAGGTTATGTGTAGCAGAACACGCGTTTTCCCTGTTTTTGTTTTTGCAAATTTATAGTATTTTTTTTCTTTTTAATTTTTTAACATTACTTTTTCTTTCTACTTTTTAAAAATGGCGGCCGCGTACTCGGTATGACCGCTTGTTTGTCATTTTTTCTATATGTTGGTGTTTTTTTTTTTCTTTTTTACGTTGTCCTATTGTTAATTGCCGGTTGAGTTTTGCATATAAATATATGTATTATGTTAATTTACTTATAACGTTATTCATAATTTCTGAAAACCGAATCTTCAAATTCTCCGTTACATTTTTTAAATGGTCCATTTCTTTATTTTTTTTTGTTTTTGATAATTTTAATGTGAGTGCATGTGGTAACTTAATATTAAGTAAATACAACAATAATATTTGCTTACTTTGTTTTTGTTATTGAATTTTATTAAACTTTTTAAAGTGAAAAAAAAAATCCAAATGCAGATATCAAATTTCTCATTCCATTGTTTACTGACTTATCTACCGTCTGATTATTTTTAACTATCACATAATTTCTGCAAATTCGTGCGGTATGAGATTTAGGTAGGCGCTGTTAAACTACGGCAATTATTATTTTTCATATACGTATGTAATATTTTGTTTTTGTATTGGTGCATTTTTTTTTTTTTTTTGCTATGTGAAGATCAGTAGAAAGAAAGAAGGGAAGAAAATAAAGTCAAGTTAAAATCTTGTGTCAATATAGAACATACAATTATATCCTATATTTGAATATAAATATACTTATCTATAATTTAGGATCTATGCTAATTTAATGATTATCATATGTCGTAAACATAAATTATAAATACAAATAATTTTAATTAATATTCAGGCTTTTATAATTAATTAATTATTCAATATTAGCTTATAAATATATTCTGTAAAACTTATACTTTTGTTATTAAGTCTTTGAACACAGTATATACAGTAATTTTCTTCAAACCTAGGATCTATTGTATTATACTGCACAGTAATATTGTCGGTAACCAGATTCTATATATATATATATATATATATATTTTAATATATATATGTATTTATCTAACGAGCTTGTCAGGTGTATACAATTGTTCTGTAAGATTTAAAAGAATTTGCATTTTTTGCTTATCACAACGAATTTTAAAAAATATTTATAAAATATATACATTAAAAGTTTATATTCTATATACATATATATTACTTATAAATATTAATTATTATTAAATATTATATAGTAAGTAAATTTCTAAGACATTCTTGAATAATAAAATATTATTTTATGTGCTGCTCTGATTTATATTGTTTTTTTTATTATAAGATATTTCTCCTGATCAGATAATTAGATACTAGATGTATTTTTACCCACGGTTGCCACTTGAAAATTTTTTTCTGTACCAAAATTGGTTTAAAAAGGTACCATTTCTGTGAAAAAAGGTCCAAAATTTTTTTAGACCTTTTTGTTTTCTCGTTCTGTGTTTTTTATAGTGTTATAAATGAACAAAATATAAAATAGTGCAAAGTTGCATTTATAAAAAAAATTAATTGGAAATATCCACAATAAAATTGGGTCGTCAAAAATGTACCAGTTTTTGAAAATGAGTACCAAACGAAAAAAAAAAAAAAGTACCAATTTTGGTACTAAAGTACCATAAGTGGCAACCGTGTTTTTACCCTCAATTTACTCCATGGCAATGTATCAATTGCCAATATCAATCAAATTATATCACATATCAGACTCAAGTCAAGGCGTTTGTTAACGTGTTTATATAAATGGTGCTGTATTTCATATTAAGACTATAAAAGTTGAAAATTTCCACTGTTGAGACTCTATGTTATAGTATATCACAGTTATTTCAGTATAACCATTTAAGTATGTCTGTTTTTGACAGACAGAGCTTAAGTGTACTGTCTTATGTATAGAATATTTAGTCTCTTTCATAAATTAACTCAGTAGCACCACTGCAAACACCCAAAAATGAATCTAATAATTAATGTATGGTGTCAATTTTTTTGAATTTATATTCACCCTTCCTTTTTTTTGTAACAATAACAAAAATTTGCTAAACCTATACACTATATAATAATCTGGAGGAAATCTGTTCAACATATACAGCATCAAATATCATCAAAAGTCTTTACTTTTTTTTTAAATAATTTCTTTTATTTAGTTCTAGAGTGAGACTATTACCTTTATGGTGATAGTGAGGCCTATAGTATATAATAACATCAAATAGTTCAATTTGGTTATTAAGTTATGAATCATAAATCATACATACTGAAAACTATATACACAGGTTTTAGAAAGATAATTTTACTGATCTGTAGTTTGTTGATCTCATTAGAGATCAAAAAGGTTTTTTTTTTCTCTAATTTATCAGAACAATCTTCAGTGACTGTATTGCTAATTCACTTAAGTTATTAAAAGTATGTTTTAGTAATTAATATTAATTATATATATTATTTGCTTATTATTAATTTGTTTGATTTTATATAAATATTTAGTAATGTGTTATAGGTGTTTTTCTGTGTCTTGCTCTACATAATTGTTCTACACAATCATTTGATAGTTGATATATTGAATATATAAGATGTAGACTCAGAACATGAATATATAAACTAATAAGGTGTTTATTGATTTATTGGTGAATTTATTGATTTATGCATAATTAAAGCCAATTTATAATATAAGTATTGATATATAGTTTTGTTTCTCTTGGTAAATATAATATAAGCTTATACTATTTAAATTCTTGTTTAGTTGGTGTCCTTTTTTTAAAAAAAAAAGAAAATCTTTCAGTAAATTTTATGTTTATTATAAAATTTCGAAAACGGAAACATAAAATTAAAATGTTTTATTGTTTTTGCAAAAGTCGCGTTCGCCCTCCACAATTATTAGAATGTCGTGGTCTGTTTTTCTTAAATTATATTGTATGCAAAAATTTGAAGGAAATTTATAAATTTATTAGACGTCAAATTTACTCGGAAGGAAAAAAGTTTTTATTAACTGCAATTAAAAAAAAATTATATTAATAATATAATACAATGTGTAACTTTGTCAACTGATTGAAATATTGTGATTGACTTAAATTAATTATTTAATGAAAATATTCCAAAATGATACATAAATAGAGATGAACTATTTTCGCGATTCTACAACCACCTATTCGTTTTCAAAACAAAGTATATTGTTATATTTTTAAGTTTAAAGTGATAACTTCTATAAATATAAAGACAAACACGTACGTTTATTTTTTCAATTTTATTGTTTAACAACTGATTTTTTTGTTTTTACACGGATTTATAAATATTTTTACTAAAGTTATCTATAATAGCTTATCCAAACCAAACGCCAAAGGTATTACTATCTATATCATCATAACGATGCTGGTATTACAAGTATTATTCGAGACGTAACTTAAAGGTATCCACAGACAGGCAGATAATGACAGATAATGATTTTGTTAAGTATAAATACCCAAACAATTGAAAATGTAGCAAAATTTTGTTACCATACATAGGACATTAAACACCTTCAACAAGTTCCTGTTGTGTTTGAGTGAACTAATCTTGTTCCTCTCCGGCAGGTTTTAGAGCTAAAAGGTTACACGTTGTAGCTATGCGCCTGTGGAGGAAGCATCTACAATATCCATAGCCACCACCACCAATGTGGTAACAGCCGTAACAACAAATATCAACCAAGAGCCATGAGCCAAGAGCCCTACACCTGTAAGCAGTACCGAAGAGAATTCTGCAACATATGAAAATGTGAGATGTGTGCGTTCTTTAAAGAGTATGGCATGAGTATGGCACGTTATATATAAAAAGGATACAAGTCAAGCCAAAACCAGAAGCGATACGCCAATGTTGATGGTATTTATCTTATTACAAAAAACAAAAAAATAAAGAAAAATAAAATTAAATTTTTAAAACACAAACTGTTAACATAATTACAAAAATTGGATTGATTTAAATGAAAGATAAGATGCCTTTTTTATTTGCCTAGTTAATGCCTTAACAACAACAACTTACTTCAACCGGTGTAAATCTTTAATCTTCTTGTTTTCGTATTGATTGATAATAATGTTTCGAATGATAATGATATTTATTGATAATGATAATTTTGAATAAAAATTTAAAATAAAATTTTGCAGTAACTTTTTGTCATTTGTCAAATTCTTTGAGAGATTCTGGCCTTTGTTTTTTTTTATTGCAGTAGAGTTCAACATGTTTTTTCAATGATTATTTAGTAATTTAAGCGTAATTTTTTAATATAAATAAAGTATAATAAAATTTTCACTTTGATATAAATTGAACTAAATTTATTGTTTAATCTTTGAAAATTTTGAAATATAATAATTAATAAATTAAACTTAAATAATTCTAAGTACGTACGTAAGCATACAGATTTGGTGAGTCATATTTGTTGTCCTTTTAAAATAACATTTTTAAGTAATTCAAGTATTTTAAAGTCAATTATTATTAAAAGTCAGAGTATTAGTATTAAACGATATTAATTTTAATTGTTAAATATGAAAAACAAAAAAAAAAAATTTTCAAAATTAACTTTTAAATCGCATTTTTTTAAAACACATAAATATCTTTAAATATTTAACACTGAACTTTAAATTAAAAAATAAACTTTTCTTTGTTTTTTTTGCACAATTTACAGAAAACTCTTTGTTGGCGGTTTGAGTTGGGAAACTTCAGAAAGTGAGTATAAACTATTAGGAAGAGAACATATTTCTAATAATATATATTTCGATATTAATTTTTAGAGGAATTGCGTGATCATTTTGGAAAATATGGAGAAATTGAAAGCATTAATGTCAAAACTGACCCACAGACTGGTCGTTCACGAGGCTTCGCTTTCATTGTTTTCACCAATACAGATTCTATAGATAAGGTTACAGCAGTAACTGAACATATAATTAACAATAAGAAGGTAGATCCTAAAAAGGCTAAAGCTCGTCAAGGAAAGATATTTGTTGGTGGCTTAACAACAGAAATCAGTGATGAAGAAATTAAAACATATTTTGGCCAATATGGCAATGTAAGTTTCAAATTTTTTACTCAAATATATTAATTAAATTAAATTTAGAATAATAATTCAAAAATAATATTTAGATTCAAGTTAGAATATATATTTCAATATAATATTTAAATTAAATTTAGAATATTTGTTTTTACTGAAATTATAAATATAGTGTAGGAATATTTATTTTTACTAAAATTATAAATATGAGTATTAGTGAGTAGTAGGTTAAATATGGGTGGTCAATTCCTTTCAACTATTGTAATAAATAAAAATTATAAAATAAATTATTTCACAGATTTTTATTTTATTTTATTTTCAATCTACTTAATCGACTTTAATCTAATTCTGAAAGCGACTTTAGACTAATGTTGAAATATTAAAAATAAATAAAAATTTTTTTTAATTTTCGTTTATAACAATAATTGAAAACTATTGCGACGTAGTTTGAAAATTTTTTATTAGTTTTGTAAAAATATTTGCATTGTAGTAAAAAGAGAGAACACAATAATTATTTGATAAGATTAATTCAAGAAAAATTCAAAAACACCGAGTGTTTGTATTCGTACATATCTTCATAAAGTCTAGACAGTGTAGACGTTAAGTAAGATTTTTAATGAATAAACAAAGATCAAATGAAAAGCATTTACGTTTTATTAACTCAAGTCAACCCAAATATTTCAAGTCAACATTTTCATGTCTTTCGTCAAACTGCTTCAATGCAAACTAATTTAATACAGTAAAATCTCTTTTTTGGTATTTTGTACAAAAATTCTTTCGTTGTTAATAAAACCTATATAACACTTGTTTAAATAAACAAATAAGATTGAAATAATTAATTTAATGTGCATATATTAGTAGTTTCGATATTACTTATAAGTCCTAATCCAAAAGAGGCAAGTAGAATATAATCAGTTTTTTATGGTAGATCAATTTAATTTATTAAAATATATTTGTTATCTTCTAAAATTGTGAAATATATATATCTACAATTTTTCTTAACTAATGTATGTATCTTTATGTTTTAATTTTTTTTAGATTATAGAGATTGAAATGCCATTTGATAAACAAAAGTCCCAGCGCAAAGGATTCTGTTTTATTACTTTTGATTCAGAACAGGTTGTAAATGAGTTGTTGAAAACTCCTAAACAAAAAATCTCCGGCAAGGAAGTTGATGTGAAACGCGCAACACCCAAACCAGAAAACCAAATGGTCGCTATGCGTGGACGTGGTGGCTTGCGTGGTGGTCGCGGCGGTTATGGCCGTGGAGGTGGGTTTTTAAAACAAACTTTGTTTTTTTTTTTTTGTATTATAAGCTATTCCTTGTATAAGTAATTCACTTGAAATAATTTAAAAGAGGTTTATTTAAGCAGAATTGGAATAAAATGAAGTTTCCATTGTGTATATATTAAGTTTAATTATAGCTTAATCTGTACATTTCTTTAAATTTTTTATTTAGGATTAATAATTACGTACATTGTAATTGTTTATTATTATCATTTTTTATTAAATTAATGCTTTATGTCTTATGACAACAAACATCCATCGAAAAGAGAAGAAATTAGCGATCAGTTGATCCCATGAAATTAGCTAGGTTCTCCGCCTTGACACCAGTTGAATTCAAATAAAATCTCGCCTATATCCAATCCATTCTTGTACCTTAATAATCCACTCACCTTTCACACTTCCTTTAAAATAAATTCATACTAAAGACAATATTATTATATGCTACCCACAGCATTAACTACAACATTTGAATTATATTTAAGTTATACCATATACTATATTTAAATTATATTATATTTAAATTATATTGTACTTAAATTAGATTAGATTTAAATTACATTTAAATTTTATTATATTTAAAAATGAATTCTTGCTAAATGTAGACCATATTATTGTAGGATACCCACATCAATGGCCTGGTCAAGGTGCCTATCCTGCATTCGGAAGTTATGGTAGTGGTTACGATGCTGGCTATGGAGATTACTATGGCAGTGGTTATTACAATGGATATGATTATGGCTACGGTAAATACCCAGCACATAATAGTAATGCTCAATCTTCTAATTCTAATAATTTTTACCACAACAATTCATCTAATTATCTCAAAAACAATGGTAGCTTTCAACAGTATAAATAGGCAGAAACAACTTCTACCGAACAATTTGAAACAGAAAAAAAACTACAAGTAAAACAACCACAGAACAGTACACAATTCATAGAAACAAACTACTAAACGCAATATATTACAATGTAAACAAATTTAACAACTTTTGTTTCATATATATATATATATATATAAATATATATAATGTATTTTATATACAAACAAGTGTATATAAACATTATGTGTGTATATATCCCCATTTGATATATATGTATATATATGAATGTGTAATATGCGTTTAATGACCATTCAATAATTTTTTCCTCCTATTTTTTTTTTTTTGAAAGATAAACCTTTTCCAAATTTGAACGAAGAAAAACAAAAACAAATCAAATTATTATTTTTTATTAAAAAAATATTTTATTAAATTTAAATTATTAAATTTAAGAACTTTTTGTTAAAAATTTTGAAACAAAAATTTAATTATTTAAGCTTTTATTAATAGTTATAGTTTTAACATGATAATTGAAGCGCAGTATAATGAAGAAGAAAAAACGTTAATAACGTTAAGTAACGTAAATACGACATTTAACCATCATGAAAATAAAATAATACACCAATTTTAATTAAGTATAATTCTAAAACTGACGAAGAGTGTGTGTTATGTGTGTTGATAAGGAAATATAATTAAATTTACATCTTTTATAAATAATATTAATACCTATAACATAACAGAAATTATAATAATGATAATTTTTTTTTTTTGACAAACCAAATACAATAATAGAATGACAACTAATATAAAACTCTGCAAAGTTCGGAAGTATAATTAACTTGTTGAATATATATTGAGTTTATTTTTTTTCAGAGCATTTCCACTCTGAAAAAAATTGCAATGAAACATTAAGAAGAACAAAAAATTATGTTTCAATAAAAAACCATAAGCATTTTCTTTTACACAGAAGAACTTTGTTATGATTCCATAGATTTTGATTTGTTAAATGTAAATGTGCCTTCGGTTCACCGATCATTTTTATTTTATTTGGTTGAACCATGTATAATGTATAATGAATAATGTATTTGACTGCAAAAATCTATCCTTGCTCCAAAGATAAAATACATAATACCTCATATAAACTTACAACATATTATATATAATAGAAAAAGTAAAAGCCAACATTTTAAAACCTTTTAAATGGGAACAAAATAAGCGTAGGATAAAAAAAACCTTGTTGCAAAATATATATAGTACAGTACAGAAACTTCACAAACTTACAAGCTGAATTATAATAAATGATTGATTATGGTAAAAAGTAGTCAATAATATGACATTCGTTAGTTAAAAATATAGTTCATAACAAAAACGCATTTACTATAATTTTTTCGGCTTTGTAATTGTCCTTTTTGGTTGCAGTGTATGTAGCCTGTAAAAGTGAAGTAGAATTATACAGTTTCATTAATAGGTGCCTTTCCTTTTTTAATTATTTACTAATTAATTGATCCCAACCTTTTTTCAACCGATATTTTAATAGTAATGTTTTTAAATTAAATAATTATTCAAAATGAATATACAACTTTTACATAACTAACAACAAATGCAACAACCTTTTATAACCTTAGTTATTTAGTATCATACGTAATATTGTTGAGTATTTGGCTCTAAGCCAAAATAAAAATATTTACAAAATACTATTACTGTGTACTATTTATATACATATATTATTTTAAACTATTGTTATTATGTTTAATAATGATAATATAAAAATGCATATATTTTCGTATGCTATATATTTATATACATGATATACAAAACATATACCTAAAAATATATATACAAATACGATAGTATATGCTGATTTGTAGCATGTACTATTGTAAAAACTATAAAAAAAACAAAAAAAACTATAAAAATCGTAAAGTTATAAAGAGATTTGTATCTTTACACAAAAATGTTTAGTGGGAGAGTGGTTTTTTGTGAGTAGCGGCATGAATGAATGCGGCCAGAATCAACATATGTGTTGATATATATGTTTGGGAGCAACCAACCTATATATTTCATGCTGTGCTCATATTTTGTACCACAAAAACACACAAACTCTGAACTTCTTTTATTTGCCGCTCAAAATTTGATGCAAATTTTTTAAAAAATTTTTACCATTTTGCTAGAACTTGTGAAATCCTTATCAAAGGGAATTTTTGGATCAAGTAATTTGCCAGAGACAGAGACAGAAACAGAAACTTAAAATAAAATTTGTTTAATAAAATAAAATATAAAATTTCTGAAATCAACCGATTAATAATTAGTACCTACTTTAATAACATAACAACCAACGTCATTTAATTTTGCTTTGTTTTACATATAATTAATATATATGATAAATATACGATTTGAAAAGTTTTAAAGAGAAAAGAAAAATAATTAAGAAACAAATATAACAGTTGCGTAGTTAAAAAAAAATTAAAAATTAAAATTTATTTTACTAATTTTTTTTGCACGCAACGCGGCGTAAGCTTAAATTAAAAGTTGTTACATTGCAATTTAAATTTCAATTAAAGTATATTAAAAAAGAGTATAAGAAAACACACTTCGTCAATTTTTAAATAAAAAAAATTAATAAATGTAATTAAAATTTGTATGTGGGAAATAACATTTTTTCTTTTTCAATTTTGCATTATATTTATTACTAACTTTCTGAAAAAATATCTTTATTTAATATTATAAAAAATTTTTTGAAAGGTTTTTTAATTATAGCTATGTTTATATATCAAGAAAAATTTTATAAGTTTTAAGAATTTTTTTTTTCATAAAAAAGGAAAAAAAATGTTGCAAAAGAATAGTATATTTGCATGTTTCTCAATGATTTCTAAATTTTTGAGTTTACGTAGACAGCATCGTTTTTATGAATATAATATATATATATATATCTATTTATCTTTTAACATATTTGCTATTTTTTATTGACAAAAAGTAAAAATTTTAAATTAAAAGCAAAAAAAAAATATAAAATAATCACAAAATTTAGTAACAAAAAGTTGTCTCAAATGAACACATGATTTAAACGCCTATTCCTTTCAACAATCACGGAGTGGATGCGTGCGCTGGAATGCAGTTTTAAAGTTCGTTGACATAGAATGGATTTTTGGCTTTCATTTGGATTTCCTCGCTTTTTTTTTTAATGGTGTTTATAAGTTTGAGTCAACTATTTGAAAAAAAAAATATTTCCTCTTTTTTTCCTATAAAACAATTAAAATATTAATTTATAGTTTATTGCACACTTATTATTTTCATACTAATTTTACATATATATACATATATATATATATAAATTTAAATATTTACTTGTAATTTTTATTTTAGATACGTATATAGATATTTTAATTTTGTAAAAAAATTTCTTATAAAAAATATTATTTGTTATGCCGAATTTTCCGATGTTTCGCCTCACACCAACAAAACAAGCAAAAAGAAAGCAATTTAAACTACCACCTACTTACCACGCACATGTTTTTCGTATTAACCGAGAATCAGTCGATGATATATATGAAATTCGTATTCGTAGGATATCGTAAACGGAATAAAAGAATTCATTAATAAAGATGGTTGAAACGTCTAATATATTTTGTACGGTTTGGAATAAAATTGGATAATTTTAAAAAGCGATTAAAAAAAAAAAAACTTGCATACAATTTTTTTAACTTTTAATAACCATTTTTCTTATCTTTTAAATATTGAATTAATTAAATTTAAATATGAAATACATAAATTATAATTTTAGTAAATAATGTTTGTTTATAACCATCTAATATACGAGTAGATTGTCTAACCCACTGTAAAACATAAAATTTTAAGTAAACATTTTTTTTCTGAATTCTATTTACAGTGGTTAAGCATACTTTTTCATTTTCTTTAACTTAAATATTAATTAATTAGTAATTTAAAATTTATAAAAAAAGAAAATTGCATTTGTTTTTGTTTTTCTATCGTAAACTTTTTTGACTCTCATATGACAAACTCTTAAAATAAATTATGTTAATGATTTTGTTTTCAAGCGAAAAAAAAACTATACATTTACCTATAAATTGGTGAGGTGAGACATTAAAACACACAAAGCAGCAACAAAAAAAAATTTTAGCAAAAGAAAAAGTTTTATTAACCATAAAATAATCTTTAATTACTATAAATAAGCTTTTTTTGGTAGCCAAAATATGGTTGCCACAATGAGTTTATTTTTTCTAACGCTGAAATTGTTGTGTGGAAAATAAGGTACCAAATATGCAACCCATATTCTATGGAAATACATTGTGAAACATGAGAAAAAAGTACATTTTTTAAACTATGAATTACATTAAATGAAAATGTCAGAATTAAAGAAAAAATTAATATAAATATATATATTAAAAAACAACTATTAAATGTGAGCGCCGCTTTGCGCCAAATCTAAAGTTTAAAAAAAGCGTAGGTAATCATGAGAACGTTTATAATTCGATAGCAATGTAAAACCATTAAGTTTAACTATTTTTTATAACATAATTATTTAAAAAAACAAAAACAAAAACAATGTATTCGTCGTATTCGTTCAATTATAAACTGCAACAAATATATTACAACTAAAATTGAGCAAATAAAAGAAAAATATAAAAAAAAGTTCTAACTACGTGTATTTTCTCATGTATGTATTTAACTTATTTTCCTCATAACAATTTTACAGCTATTATGGTTAGTAAATTTAAAAAATATGTGTTAAATGGAAATATTATCTATGATCAAGAGCGTATACAGCAGAGGTCAACTAAAATGTAAAAAGATATTATTTTGTGCATATGTGTTTGTGTATTACGAAAATACACAGTGACAAATAAGTGAATATTTAATAACAGATACAATTTCAACGAGATTTTTATGTAAAAGCCTACACTTTTAGAGACTAAATATCTTGATCTCAGATCTCTTCCATATTTACTACTGGAATGACGTTTCCGCGATGCGGTGGAAATCTTCTCCATTCATTTGTAAGAGGTGGTTTTAGTGGATTTACTGTTACGGTAACTCAATATGTTAAAGAATATTGAAATTAGTTTCTTTAAAATTTTCTGAAAACAATACACAATACACATAGTTTTTGCCAATGTTGTGTGTATATATAAAACAAACTTTGCCATAACTTTTGAAAGATCGAATTGCCGATCTATCCTAATATTTCAGGTATTTATTTTTGCCCTTTGTTTTGACTTCGCATAATTGACTGTTTTGTACCACTTTGTATACCTATGCATATAAAAAGTGTCTTATGCAATGTGCGAAGTATTGTCCTTCCATAAGCAACTAATTTATGTCTAAATTCATATCCCAGCAAGTAATACTCGTCCATAGAACTTTTACGGAAAAACACTATTTTTAATACGTTTTGGTTAGTCATGTTTCTCAGCCCTGTACCGTAGTATTATTCACTTGTTTTTTAAAGCTAAATATTAAGAAACCGACATCAGTAGTTCTAAACTACAATACGTTTTATTGTGTTAATAAAATAGTTCCATATATTCCATATCTCTTTTTGGGTTCATACTAAATTTGATTAACTCTACGGTTTATTTTAAACTCGGCATAATTTTAATTTATGGGTTGGACTTGTCTACGCATTAAGAAATAGTAAGCATTACAGGTTTAAATGATGATTGATTGAATAATTTTAGGTAGGTAGGTAAATCTGGTAATTCTGGTAAATTTAGGTAAATTTAGGTAAATCTGATAGTCCATAACCTGCATGTTTGTTAAATGTGATATTATATATTTTTTATATTGGCGGGTCAAAAAATCAGGCCGCGTTTTTGTAGTGTCTCAACAACAAACAAAATATTTTTTGAGAAACTTAGAAAATTTAGTATTTGAGGTACTAGAATTATTGTGCCTTAGAGTAATCAATAGTTTTTTAATTGAGCATAATCATGTTAATCACCATCACCATTTAAAGAAAGGATTAAAGTACGTACACTGATATTTGCAGATATAAAATGAAATATCTGCCAATTTTATTTGTGTCGGAGCATGATTTTCGAATTCTGGAAAAAAAGATTTATTGTTACGTTGATTATTAGACTAAGTTTATCTAGCTAAGTTTAGGGAATTTTTCCATAGTTCAATTGATTTTAAACATTCTCGAACCTATTTTTTTATTTTAATAGTAATAAAATAATATTGTGCTATATATAGATAAATATTAGGACTATCCAACTCCTACTTAATGAGGAAGGTTTTATATTTAAATGATTAAATTAGCATGTATTATTTAAACTATTTCAAATAGAATTTTTGAAAATGAAGAATTTTATTAATTATAAATTACAAACATTAGCTAAAGGCATTTAACTATTTTCATAAATCTTAGTATTGGCATTCATTTAGGCAAGTCATAGTCATCATTTGTATTTCTTACTTTTTCTAATCTAATGAAATTGTTTTTCAAAATTAATTTATTATCTTACACAATATCTTTTTCGAAAATATTTCCACTCCGTCATGTGTTGAACTATGAAAATTGATTTTAACGTCAATATAGTGACTGTGGTATTTAATAGAGAGGTTTCGAATAGCAGCGAACTACAATAACAAAAATTCCTTTTTATATTATTTTATTTAATTGAATTTTTGGCTGACCATACAACTGTTTCGAGTATTGCCAAATACCCATCATCAGTGTTCTTGGAAATTATTTCTCATATGTAATTATTCGTGAATAATTTTGTTAAGACTGCAAATACCAAGGGTTGAACTCGTGTCCTGCCAAATTTAAAGCTCAGAGTCAGTGTTCATTAGCCAATTGACCCAAAGCCGTACTTGATTTTTACGTTCGCACATTTTTGTGGAGTTTTTTTAATTTGCTGTGTAAGTTTTATTAACAAATTCACTTACTGTGTTTATATTAGAACGAAGTCATAAACCAGTTGTAGAATAATTGAATTAATTAATTATATTTTTTGTTGTTGTTGTACTTCGCTACTTCCCGATACCTCTCTGTTGAATTATTATTAAAATAATTTCTATAATATTTTTGGAAGATTCGTGTATAATTCTTTCTTATAGAGAATTGTACTTACATGGTATTTTATTATTATGTTGAGGCTAGTTGAGTCATTGCACCTGAGCACTTTTACTTTCTATTAACTGCGAGGTTTCTTCAAAACCCCTCTGCGCCTTGACTAGATTATTGTTGATCATTTCATCAGACTAAGCAATAATTGACCTCAGATCTGCATACCTGCGTCTACAAAAGTAGAGTTCATTCTGTACAAGATAAGAATAACAAAATAGAGTAAAGGTAGTGAATGGTAGGAGTTACTGTAATCCAACCATATTTGAGTTTTCTAATGAAAACATCCAGTTAAAGTAAATGGCTTCAACTGTCTTGAGGTGTTTGACTTATGAAAAGTTTTCACTTAGAAATTAATCCAAGCGGTGTTTTTATTTAAAATGCAATGTTGAAGAAATTAAATTAAAAAACTATCGCATCGAAATCTTAAATATGTGATTTACTTTACATATATAAAAATAAAAGGAGTGTTGTAAAATTACAATCAGTGTAGCAAAAGATGGTAAGTTTTCTTTTCAAATTAAAATTTAAATTAAATTCAAATACGTTGCTATACAATGTCTTATCTCTCCAATGGACAAAAATATTACAATTGACTTCTGTTACAAATTGAGCAAGAAATTTAAGTATTTTTAGCTATATAAATTTTGACCATACTTTTTTTATAGTGATATTTTGTCTTGTTTTATTGTTTTTTTTTTACAACATAATCTTAATGCTTACTAAAAATAATACAAAAATCTTTTATTTTTTGCGGATACTACATAAATTTAACAAACGCGCTTTACTTTGAATTGATGAACGTTTTCATAAATAAAATTAAAATGCAATTTTTGAATTAAAATCTTACAAAAATGTTAAGACTATGGTTATGGAGGCGGTTACGATGCCTACGGTGGTAGTGGCTATACAGGCGGTGGTGGCCGTGGTGCTGGTGGAGCACGTGGTGGCCCAAAAGGTATTATATATCGTTTAACTATTGCTTGAATAATATTAATAAACAATATAAATAAATATTCGTACATAAAATATGTTTCCTATAACTGCTTTAATCTCTTTAGTATTGTATGTTTTCGTAATTACTTTAAAAAAAAGCACCTAATAACCACAAATTGTAAAATTTTCTAAAAATGAAATGTTTTTTAATTGAAATCCGTCAAAATTTGAATACATTTTTTTTAAATTGTCTTTGGTCAAAATTTAGTAACATTTACACATAGATTTTATACTATTTTGTGTTTCTTTTATGAATATAGTAAGTAGTATCTCTGTTTAGTAGTAGTTTTAGTTTTTATGTTCAATGAAACTATATTTTTATTTCATATTTTAAATATATTAATTAAATTTTTTTTCTTTTATTTTTTTTTGAATATTAAAGCAGGCGGTTATGCAACCGGCAAGCAAAGAGGGACAGGACGTCAGCCACGACACCAACCTTATTAACTTTTATTAAAATATTTGCTTATATTAAAGTATCTTACTTTAATTTTTTATAATTAATTTTCTACACAAATATACCGTTACTATCAGCCATCATCATTTCGTAAATATATAAAAAAACTTATAATTTTTTATATAAATTCAGACGTTTATATAAAACAGAAATAAAACAATTTTTTTTATGGTAAGTTTTGTTTTTGAAAATGCATTTTATATTAAATATTTATTTCATATGCTTTTCTAAGAAGTATGAGTGAAATAATGAATTGGTGTTAATTATTATCAAGGTGTGACCTACACCTTACTTTAAACAACAGTTTTCTTCTCCCTTTATCATCGCCTAATCACATCATCGCCTTATTTGTTTATAATTATTCCTGCTATATAGATTTACACCGATTATAACAACAATAGGGTTAAGAATTCTGCCTTCGTATTATGAATACATTTACATCTATTGCAACGGAACTAACATCAGTGAGGTCGTAGACGAAGAATAATTGCTTTCCATATTAAAGCTCTGTCTTCATCGAGAGACTGTGCTTGCATTGCAAGCATTGAGTTTTTTATACGCCTGCACGAGTAGTTCCTTAGAACTACTGCAAGTGTATTGAACACTTGCAACTTACAAATACATATTTATATTCCCAATTGGTGCACTAACTGCAACTGTGCCATACATGTTGATGTCCATCTGTTTTCATGTCCCAACTTACACACCAATAAACATCTTATTTTTTTTTAATGTCATCGTCCTATAGGTGTAGCAAGATTACTTTTCCTGGACCCATGCGAGCTTCAATTAGTACCCACCGAAACTCAAATTTTTTCTTCTTCTATCTAATGCAACCGCCCATACCCTAACCTAACCCATTCATTGATCTTGAATTTCTTTCTTGTTTTCTGTGCTAAAGGTGCTTTCAGGTTACAATATTCATAACTCCCATATAAGCTTATCCAGGTCAACTTCGTAATGAAAAACATTTTCTATATCGTGATTCAATTATTGTAGTTAAGTAGAAGCTTATGTTTTTTTAATAAAGCATATAAAATAAATGTTTAAATTTTTACCTATAATCTATAGCGAATATCTAATATTTATTTTTTGTTTTTACAGGTCATCCATAAATAAATATTAAGCAGTAGCCTTATTCATCAATACAATTGGTTTTGTATGCAAATACTTTTCATTCCAATTTAAATTACAAACGAAGAAACGTACAGCGATTTCTTTGTGTGCATATTTACCAATCAACAAACCAAATTTATGGAATTTAAATTGCAAAATACTATATATAATTTCATTATTTGCTATTAAGTAACAAAAACAATAACAAAAAAAAAACGAGAAATAATGGTATTTTATGATTAGTTTAAAAAAACTTATAAAATAAATTGCTTACTCTATACAGATAACTTAAATACTTTTAATTAAAATGTAATTTAGACATTAATATTAATTTTTTTACTTCTTATAAGATAAATAATTGTACGGTTTATATGCATCTTACATTTATTTTTTCGGTTCGTCTACTGCAATAATTTGTTAAATATCTTTTATTTTATATTTTGATTAAATTTATACTATAGTTGTATATCTATCATATTTTCACTTAAAACTTCATCTATCGTAGTATAATTGTAAAATAATTTGCTTATGTTAATTATAAGTATAAAAAGATATGAACAAAAAGTGTTAAATCACAGTAAATATGTTTTTCTAATTTGAATGTAATTTTTTTTTGTATTTCGTATTAAATTTCTATTTCGGTATCTAAGGAAATATTTCAAATTTAATTTATTTTTCTATATATTGTTTCGTATATATAATTTTATTTAATATTTTTGTCTTCTTTTTTGTATCTTCTCTAATTGATTTTAATTTCTTCTCTTAATGAACTTATGTAGTAGCAGTTTTAGATTTATAATTCAAAATACATTACTTTGCAATAATATTCAAAAATTCTGTAAAACTATATTAAAAATCCAATCACAGTTTTTTTTTTTATTATGTTTGCTTAACTAATTTAGTTTTGTAATATAATTTATTTTAAAAGTACTATTAACCTAAACATATAGAAAACTTTACTTTACAAAAACAAAAGAAAACAACAATAATTAATAATTTAAATCTTTTAACTAATCCACCAAAAACAAAAAAAGAATTTTTGAAATTTCAAATAAGATCAATAAAAGATAAAATATCTATATATATATATATAAATATATATATTTATATAAATAGGATATGAATGAAAATATGTGCAAAAGTTAAAATTTTGAATAGAATTTATATTTTACTGTAAGATAAAATTTATAATAATAAATTTTAAATCAAAAAATAGAAAAACAAAAACAGTTATATTAATTGTTAATAAAATAACTGAAAGTATCATAAATGGCAACCGACAAACATATTTAAACACAAAATAAATAGTAAATAAAGAAGAAGAGCAAAAATAAAATGGAAATACTTAAATGCTTCATCAAGTCCTCCTATTGAAACAGGCAAAATATATTTTTAGTTATTAGTTTAACAGAATAAAAAATAATTATTTTTAATAGCTTGTAAAATAATAATAATTAATAGTACTATACACTTATGCATACAAACAAAAAACAAGTAAAATATTTCAAGAAATAAAAATATACAAAATTGTATATAAAAAAACAAAAACAAAATACTTGTGTTTTTTTATAATATTTATATTATGTTGGGTTAGAATTCGGTCTACAACCTCTGCCAAAACAGTTTATATTAAACATAGTCAACGTCAAAGCTAAATTTGATCTGGTTCACATTCTGTTTCCATATGGAATATACATATGAGCAAAATAAAAGTTGAAAGTAATTATTTTAAAAACAACGTTGGCAATACAACTTTTGAAAACATTTTGTAATTATCTTCCATTGTGTTCCTTATGAAAGATTCCTTGCTGAACCAAAGAAGATCTAGACCATTATTTGCTAAAGCACAGTCTATGTGTTGATGCTGAGACGCACCCAGGAACGCCGAAAAATAGGAATATAATATGATTACATCTCTATAGAAGATCTATTTCAGAATTTTATAGAAGAGGATACTATTCTGGTATGGAGGACAGTAAACTATAACTGATATTATGTATGATATTGATCACTAAGTCTCGCATTAACTGTGTCTTAACCGTTAAAATTGTGTGAATTCCAATAGGTCATAGTATTATAAACACAATTATATTGTGTATTGCTGTTTCGGCTAGGGCGAACATGGTTGACCAGGTTCCTCTACAATAGCAGATGCAGATACAGAATATACTGAAATAGTGTGTAGACTGAGTGTAGACTAAATAGGAATGAATGGTTCATATCCAATGAAATAAGTACGACATCAAGCATCAAAAGTGTGTGGTTAACATTGTCAGATGTTAACTTTTGTCGATGATATCTGTACTGCGTTACTGCAAAATATACAAAATAGCTGGATCCACTTACTAGGATGACGGTATATTAATTTTTAATATTAATCCTCTTCTTTTTCAATCTAAATGATTTAAAATTATACATTTAAAATCCTCCATATGACTATATATAAAGTTGGCTAAGACGTACTTAATTTGGTGCAATATTTATTGCAAATTATCTAGAATTATTTCTGGGTCTATATGCAACGCTACTATAGAAAGGAAATTATTGAAAGTCAATGTTTTAATATTTTAATTGTTTTTGTTCAATGATAGATTTTACTACTACTAACGATTATTAATAAAATAGAGCCACGACTCTATTTCTATCAGTGTTTTAACACTGCTTTCCTGTACGTCACTGTTCTATATTCATTTCGATGGTTACTTTAATATACATTGTCTCAGTAAGTGTCTTAGTCTTCAGATGTTCAACCCGAGTCTGAGGTAAAATCTTTCGTGTTATAAAAATCTATAAAGTTATAAGTAGAGTTAATTTGGTAAAGTGACATTTTAGTTAATGATTAATTAAACAAGTTTGTTATGGTTGCAGAGTTTATACTCTTTAAAGAGCCTTCGCTTGTATAATTTATTTAGTTTCTTATTTTATTAAACTAGATTAAAACAAATAGCGAACTATGCTTATTAAATTTTATTTATAAAAAGATTATATATATAACATATTCAATAAAATTAGATACTAACTTAACACTAACTATACACTAAAATTTTTAATCCAAAGAATTTTAACAGAGAATTTTGAAAGTGTATATGAAAAATTTAATAATGGCGTTTTATTTGACCAGTTTCGTGTAGAGTATTCAAGATGTTCATGAAAGCACGATAATTAAAGTCAAAGGTAGTACCTAAAAATGAATTAAATTTGCTTTATAATAATCTGCATATATTGAAAATTGAAAATATACCTCTTTGAACACCAAAGCATTTGCATACAGCATCGAATTCCCGACCACTTGCCAAATGGTGCATATCACGTATTGTCAATCCACGCAATAACTGATTACGAGAAATGACACCGATATTTGGATGATCGAAATCTTTCAGCACTGCACTCAAATTAGATATATTATCCGCGTAACGAGCGTATTTCATCAATGCGTGACTGCAAAGTGTACGCTCTTCAAAGTTCAGGTTGCAGTCATGGCAATCCAAATTCGCAAAGTGCTTAATGGGCAGAGGATCAGCGTTGGAGTTAGGAGACTCTATCAAAATGAACACTTCTTCCAATGCCTTCATAAAGTTACGATATGCAACGCTGCAGGATCTTTTGACTGAACGAAAACTATTTAAATAAAAACAGGATGTATAAATCATTTCTTAATTATTTAACTTTATATATTATAATAAATTATGCTATCTAACCTGTTACATATAACATCCACTTCTTTAGGTAACATTTTAACGTTCGCATTATCAAGAGCACGTCGAAAATCTACTTCCAATATTTCACCTTCACGATGGCGATCAAAGTCTTGCAGAAAATTAATTAATGGTATGCTATTCGTAGTAACTATACGCTTAGCCTTGGACAAAATGTACACAATATAATCACGGTTATTAGGATCTTTTTCACCTTCAAAGTCAAGCTCATCTTCCGCATTTTGAGCACAGGTTAATTTTGGTCTAGAAGTCAGTTGTGGTACAGCATATATAGCAGGATCGGCATCATAAAGGAATTCGCCATAATTAAAACCAAGTTCATTTCCATAACGATCTTTCAGTGCATTTATCTCATCTCTTGATAGTAAAACTCCATTCGTAACAAGTATCTGAATGAATTGCTTGCAGTTTACATGACCTGAACGTAATCTGGTTAAGAAAATGTAAAGGAATTAATATCAAATAATTGAATTTATGACTAAATTAAAGGGTAGACTTCATAATCTTTCAATAATGAGTTCAACAATCTCTTTTAATTGTTTCAAAATTAAAATTATTTTACCAAAATCTCATAAATACATACAGATATACACTTACTTATCATAGGTTCGAAACATTGGATGCATATGTATTCGACGATTTTGAATTATCACTTGTACACGTCTTAAAGCTTCTTCACAATGATCGCGTACAGCAGGCGAGGCTTCACTCCAATTCATTTCACCTTCTCTTGGCATTTCCGTGAGGTATTTCGGTGGGGACTCAACTTCAATCAAAGGATTTTTATCAAGGTTCTTAATTGTAAAAGCTGAACAAGAAAAAATTAAAATAAAATATATAAAATTTTGTACAATAAATCATATTTATTATTAACCTTCATCCATTTCATCTTCAAATTCTAGCCATCTAATACGCGATGAATCAACTGGATCTTTATAACGTTCACAGAGTTTACGGAACTCAGGTTGAGTTATTAAATTACCAATACCCATACTATGGATACCACGTTCAAATTGATTCATTGTTATATTGCCAGTGCGTAGTAAATCAAATGGTTCCAAAAATTCTCGTACTCTGATACGTCTTTCGAAAATATTCTTTTGCAAAAATATAATTACATGACATATATCTTTCTCTTTTTTGTGATTGCAGGTGTCAGCAAACACATTTGGCAAAATTTTATCACTATCGAATGTGGGTAATTCAGGCAAATCAAGGTCCACTAGTTTTCCCGGAAAATTTATAATTGCCTGTAAAATTGTATTGTTTTTATTTTAACAAAAATTCATTTCTATGTATCTTGTATACAGAATATAATAAAATTTACATTATTAGTATTCAATAATCCTTCATCTTTCAGGTACTTTTGGATGTTTTGAATGTGTGTTATAAATGCTGCATAGTTAAAGAGATAAGAATCCTTCAAATAACGTTTCGAAAGTAGGATATACTCATCATTGTTTAACGGAATTTTCATAAACGTTAGAACTCGGCGAAAGTGTGGAAGAGTAACAAGGCCAAAGGACTTTGATATCTAAGAATTATAAAGAAAATGTAACGATTGTTATAAATAAAAAAAAGAAAAGAAATAAATAATAGCTTTTATTACATATAGATAATCTTGAAAGTATGGTTCCAGAGGTAAATGATTAATTCGTGCAATTTTGGCAAGCAGTATAAATAAGCGACGACGTTCTTCTGGATGTGCAATTATATTAACATGCATAGGATCATTCAGTTCAGCACCCAATGAATATGGGTCATCGTTGGGTGCAGGTTCTGTTAAAAGCAATGTTATTGTTATGTATATAAATTAAATGCTATGATATAACTTACTCTCACGGATTAATTTACAGAATTCGCCATAGGCAACACGTCCATCGCGCAATTGAAAATAATCGGTTACTTCATTTATTTCGTGTGTAGATAATCCAACTTCGTCTTGATAATTAGCCAAAATAGCAGTAAACAGTGATTCTGTGAATGGGAAAAAGTCGACATACGATATTACTTTTAGGTTCATATTACATTAATAGAGTAAAGTAATTGATATTGATATTGGTATTAATATAGTAAAAGTGATATAGTAATATTCGAATAGTAATCTGTAAGTTACACTAATACATGCTAATCTAATTAATTCGGAAGATTGCCATCAAGGAGGTATATTTATAACAATACTTGTGTATACACATAGTTACTCAAAGTTACAACGAGAAACTCGTGGAACAGACCTATTATGAAAACTAAATTAATAAAAAAAGAATATGACTATATAGCATCTCAGACTATCTATATTGATATTTAAAACATAATGATTATGTTTATAGTGATTATTTTATGTTTAATAATTTTGTTTAATAGAGTCTCTGCAGCGTCTGCATTGACCATGCTAGCAATTAATAAATTGTCTGTCTGTAATGTGGAATCCATATAAGAAAGAGTATTTTATATTTTTTAACAACTTGTTTAACTAGTTTTCTCGTAAGAGCTTTGACTGCAGCTTGGCTGTCATATTTCCGTACGGCATAGAGAACTGCTAAGAAAAATGTTGCATGTGGGTTTATATCGCACACCCTCTTCAAAAGAGTCAAGTTTCATGCATTAACTCAAAATTGACGAACATCGAAATTCAACATTTAAATGAAATGAAGTAAATACCTTAAGTAAATACATTTAGGTATATTTTGTTCATGTAGCAATGTTGAAAAAATCAATATATAATGTAATAGAATATACATATGTTTATACAGTTAGTTTAAACTCGGTATAATGTTCCTACAAAGTAAGGAGTAAAGATGTTTGTTGACGCATACTCCCATAAATTGCTTATCATGATCATTATATAAAATAATACCTACTTTGAATTAAACCGATTCCTTGAGGATCATATTCACAAAACTGTTCGCGCAATTTGATATTATAGCGAGAGAGGGCAGATTGATATTTTCTACACGTACGCCATATCACATTAAGGCCATTTAAATACTAGAATAGAGGAACTTAGTATTATTTAAGCGCTACTGATTTAGAATATACCTCGTCACCGTCAGCCGCCATCTTTATTGATTACACTTTTTCAGTTCTTTTTTCCAAAATTTAAAGACAATTTAAGTACAAAATTTTTTCTAAACACAATTATTTTTATATTCAACATTAAATTTTGTTTCAAAATAGTTATATAGTTATAAAAAAAAATAGTTATAAAAAATATTGTCAGAAGTTATAACACATATTTTCAAACCTGATATGGATATATCAATGGTAACTATTTTAAAAAATATATAATGTTCACATTTAATTTTTTAGGCAACGTCCCATAATATTTGCAGAAGACTGTAATAATTTTAGATATGTTTATAAAATCTGATTTTTATTATTTTTTGTACATAAATACATTATTCTTTCTATTATTCCGTTATTTTTGCTCATCGTTTTTAAAAGTGAGAGCACTTTTTCCTAAAAATCGCATATATTCCCGAGTACATAAGAAGTAACAATGAATAAATGTGTGTTTTAATTGAAAAATGGCACCAACTGCTTGGTGCAGGGATTAAAGTATGACTTCATTGAAACTTTGCCAGCTTGAGGAAAAATTCGGCTGAAAGAACTTTTCACTAGATAATAAGTTATTGATAATAAGAAAAAGGGACTATAAAAAAAAACTGTGACGTTTTCAGAAAAATAAGGTTCTTCACTAAAAAGAACAACAAATTTCCAAAAAAAAAATTCTTGGTACCATTCTATTTTTTAAACCTATTTAAGTACAAGAAGAAAGACAAAGCAAGATATCTAAATGATTTGGAACTGTTTTCAACCTATTTGGAAGTTCTTGAAGAAGTTTTCGTTTTGGCACCGTATATTTTAGTAATCATAGAATTAGGATCCTTGTTCCGTATGAATTTTTGGTTTCTAGGACTAAGGAATCAACTTGGACCTTAGAGGTGATCCCAAAAATACATGTTTAACGGCGAATTTGGATTATTCCAATTATTATTTTAGTTTACGTGTTGTACTAACAGGATTATTTCCTTGCAATTTTTCTAAATAAATGCTCTTAGTTTTCCTTGATCTACCTTTCAAAATTATGGTTGTTTTTTAATTTTAAACAAAAAGTAGTTTATTATCGTTCAGCAAAATTGACATCTATAAAACCTCATTATGTCGATAGGGTTTTTATCCACACGCGCTCTTAACGATTATGGTCGTCATAGAAAAAAATGTTTGGAGCCGAGATCAATTCTTGGTTTTTGTAGCTTACATTCTGAAATAAGAATTAACAAAAATGCAGTAAATTTCGTTGAGTACAACATTAATGCTGGACAAAAGTGGTTTACGTTAACTGCTGAAGATGGTAACATATTTACATTTCCACTTAAGACGACACTGCCAAAAGTGCAATTGGCACGATTTGTGCCTCGAAAGCAGTTACCCAGAGATGTAGAGGAAGACCGTCGTAGACGTCTATATGCAACAATAAATTTAGAGGAAGAATTAAATAAGGTGGGACTAGGAAGCAAAGATCTGCATCCAACAGAAGTTGAATTCTATGATTTAGATAAAGTAGAAGTCATTCACCATTTCCCATTAAGTTTTTTTGATAATTTTGAGTATGATGTGCATTCACCGGAAGCCTGGTTAAGTTTAGGTATGATCGGTGATAATCAGTATCCATTACCTGGGAAAGCTTATCTACCCTCTAAGGGAAATCCTAAAGCGTATGATTGGCAATATGTAGCAGTTTATAGCTATGAATCGGCAACACATCGTTGGCATGTCATTGCGCTACAAAGTGATTGCGAGTACGATGTACCAAAATGTCAGCTTATGTTTCTAGCAGAAAATCCGGCCATATTTGCTAAACGTTTGGTTGACGCAATTACGGATCGTGATAGAGGTGAAGCTGTCTATGATTTGCTAACTATGGTTGATAGTGCCGTACATTTAGCTGTTCAGGAAGAAACACTACGCTTTCCACAAAAATTTAACAAATTATTGCTTAGTAGACATCATGGCAGAAGAGCTTACTATGGATTAATCAATATGGAAGTAAAACAATTATTTGAATATGTAATGACCGCATTGGAATTTGGAAACTTTTTGAATTCAAAACCAAAAGATTTCTTACAGTATGACAAAAATCTTGTAAAAGTAGCACTACCTAGCCATCATGTCTCCATGCATAGTATTGAAGAATATTTAAATATGAAGGCGTTAAATATAAATATAAAACAATTAAGGTATAGTGTACTGAAGACCATGCTAACCTATATTCCAGCTTCGGTTGAAGCAACCGAAGGGGCTGTCGTAGAGTGTGAATTTATTAACACAATGTCTGTTTTTGTAACACATTATGCCAGACCGATAACATTACATGATTTTCTTATGAGCCAACATAAGAATAGTAACAATGTGGCAATTTATTTAAAAGAAAAATGGCCTTATCGTATTTCTGCAATTCTTGTAATGATATTTCGTGCTAATGGTAAGGGCTCGATGGATGTAACATTGCGTAGATGGGATATATTCGAATTATTAAAAATATTCAAATATTTGATACAAACAAAGTTGAGAATGCAGGACACAATTCAAAGTTTGCTAGAACGTTCGATTATCAAATTTACAGAACTTTTAGTAAGCCCCTGTCTGCAATTTAAGGGTATGTCTCCGGATTACGAATGGCCACCAAATGACTTTATAAATACACCCTTTCCATATGAAAAACCTGTTTTTTACGTAACTATTGGTGTGTCACGTGAAACTGCTAAAGTTTTTTATTCAACACTTCCAGAAGAGTTCCAGCCATCAATTATGGATATATTCAAAGTTGCACTAAATAAAACTAATGCCATACATATGGTTGATCCAGATACAATGAGACACTTGCACTTTGCTCCAAATCTTTACATATTAACTGTTGAACTTATTGAAGACTTATATATTAAATGCAATGCGCAGATGGATGAAGCCTACGGTCTTGCCATTATACCATTGATAGCTTATTCCAAACTTTTCGAAAGATTTATAGAATTCTGCTGTTTGGATGTAGGTAAATATATGAAAGCATATCAAGAGGCTGATAAAACATCTATAACCGTAAAAGCTGATATTCTCGAACATAAAAGGCAAAAGGAGGAAATACGACGTATATTACCAGCTTTTATTACGATTGGACCATTTTATATTAACGTTGAACAGTTAAAAACTTTTATGGTTAACAAACATATAGAAATAGTTAGAAAGATTTTTGAATTCTACGTACATCGCATGTTTGTAATAAATGAAGAGTTGCAAGAGCGTTGCAGGAGTACCTTTGAGAAAATAGCTGAACGACCTCGGAGTATAGAACATTTACTGGAGATAAGAGATTTTGGTGAAAACATACCAACCGTTGTGGAAGGTCTGAGAAGTGATATACAGATAATGTGGCTGGAATATGATATGCTGGATGGATTTTTCTATTGTTTAAGTGATACACAATTTGCTATTAAATGGGATACGTTCGCTTGGCCGCATAAGATACTGCAACGGTTAGGATATTTGCGTGAGGAGCAAAAGTTGGATTTGGAAGAGTTCAAACGTGTACATAGTAGCGAATGTATACTATTAGAGGAACGACTGGAATCGTTAAATGATGAAATTCAACAATTTTCTTTGCAGTTTGATCCTAACAAAGCTGTCGAATCTACTGTTGAGGTAACGTTTGATTACTTACGTTAGCTAATGTTGGACGTACAATGCTGCTTTACGAGCGAATATTGTTCATTCAATGTATCTTAAATGGAAGTTAAATAACTTGAACGTTTTAATATCATAGTTATCTTTGGCTATAATTTTTAAAAAATAGTTTCATGTGATACAATGTGATTTGGTTCGGTTGTAGTAGCATTGTGCGTGATATAACAAAACATAGTAAATAATTATTGCTAGAGATTTAAACAGTATTTGAACTACTCAAAGTTTCTAACATTTCCATTTTTAAATTTTCAATATTTTGATCACAGTGAGCGTCTCATAGATGTTCGTACACTCATCATAATGCCTGAGCATGTTTTTTTTAAACAAATCCAAAATAATATAAAATATATAAGTTGATTGAGTAGTGCGAGGGTCTTTTGCAACTTGAATATTTTCGAACATTATAAGTTTCCAATCCAAATATTCGAATTTGAGCATACTCGAACGAACTGCCGAGTAACTTCATGACCATACATTTTGTAATACCATCTATATGTAGAATAAAAATATAAACACTTTGTTCTCGTTTAGGTTAAAAAAATATGGAAAACAATATCAGATTTAGAAAAAATGGGTGATACCTTAAAATTTCGCCAGAAATTGTTTGAATTAGAAGATCTTTCATTGGAGTTTTTAGAAAGTATTATAAATAGTTTTATACCATATCGTGATTTATGGTTCGGAACAACAGACTTTTTAAAATTAGAAGAAGCAACAGTTGGAAATCCTCTTTCACAAGTAGAATTGGATGAAGTATGGAAGACTTTGGAGCAAATACGTCACAGTTTGAAGAAATCTTATAAAATTTTTAATGAAAAACCCGAACTACAACAAGTTGCCTTGTTTTATCTTGATAAGATTAAAGAATTTAAGCCAGTTTATGATTGTATATCTTGGTTGAAGAATGAAAATTGGTTATTATTGCATTGGTTGGAGTTATCTCAATTGACTGGTGTTGATATAAAATATAATCCTAATCTTAATTTTCAAACATGTATACGAAAAGGTATCTTAGAAGTTTTAGATGTAGTCAAATCGATTTCGGATAGAGCTCAAGTTGATGCCGAAGAGTTAAGACGGCAGCAAGAAGAAGAAGAACGTTTAAAAGAAGAGGCGAGACTGGCTATAGAAATGAGAAAGGCCTTACGCAAATGTCGTCGTGATATTATGTAAAATGATATTTGAAAAAATTCTTTTTATGTGAAATATTATTAAAAAAGATTCTTTTGTTACAAATTTTTTATATTTACATAAAAATTTATAACATAAATTAAGTATTATATTTTTTATATATAATTTTTATTTATTTTTATACTTCAACTCTTTGGGATAGTAATAAATCATATTAAAACAACACTTTATTTTGTTTTTATTACTACTCGTATTAAAATAATATTAGTTTTGCAGTTTTGCATATATGTATATATAGACAGCCTATGCCCAGTATAAGAGGTTGCTCGAAATCATAGACGTCGAGCAAGGCGTATTATTATTATATCTGTATATTATTTTTAATCGTAAAGTATGTACTTAAGAACAAAATTTGTACTAAAGATAGCGATAACGTCAATGCGAAATCAAATAAGTTAGAATTAGATTACGTTCCCCTGGGAACGCAATGGAATGACGAAGAAGATTGACATTGACGGTGCTAGATCGGAAGTAGATGTCGTCAAGATCACCTTTGTGAGGCATATTTTATTTCCAAGGCTTAGGAACAAAATTCTCATGAGCTAAATTTTTAAACATACAATAAGTATACATACCTTACTATGAAAGAAATTAGGGAATTTCTCACTAAGGGAATAACTAACTGCCTATTTAAAGTTTAATCTGAAAACCACTTTATTAAAACCAATTTTCAATTACAGTTTTTAATACACTAAATCAAAAAGCGAAAAACTATTAGTTTTAAAACATAAATATTACAAATATTTATCAGAAAGGTATAAGTGCTGTATGAAGCACTATTTGCAACTCGAACTGTTGTTTGAAGCTCGAATTAATGATTTCATTTTATAATATCTGTGATTGGTTTTTGTTGATTGTTTATTCTGTATAATCATATAATATTCTAATATCATAAGATTAGAGTATACACTACATAATTCTAAATATACACATGTATTTATTTATGCTTAGAAGAAATCAATTTTTTAGAAAAATCTCTTTAGTGGTATCCTATATTTAATTGTTTAATAAATTTGCTAAACATTGAAAAAAAAAACAGATTTTTTTATCTATATTAATATTCAAGTTGTTTCTTTCAAAATTCCTTTTCCACATTATTATCTGGCATAATAGACTCGACGGTCGCAGTGACACATTCCTTAACAATAATAACAGATTATTGATAGACTTTGACCATTAAAATCTCTTCGTAACCAAAACATAGAGTTTACTTCATTCCTTAGTCTTTTGTTTAGATTCACGGTAAAGGTTGTAGACCTATATCACTTTGATATTTTTTAAAACACTGTAGTTGTTACTGACAAACAAATTCAGTTATTTATTTATTAGTTAATGCAACCTACGTTTCGAATATAACTCTTTGAAAACCAAATCTCGATATAAAACATTGTTTACATTAATCAATCTAACAAAATGTCTAGAGCACCTCTCTTGGTCAGTTGAATTAAAATTTTAGTTCTGCTACTGATATATTACTGATGATATTAGTGTATATGGCACTAACCAAATTTATTGAACATTTTAGTAAATAGCAAATGACTATATACATTATAACATAATTGATAATAAAACCACCTGGTTTTGAAAGTGCATATAAATATATATAAATATATAAATAATATAAATATATATAAATATAAAATTAAAAAAAAATTTTAGATTAAAACAAAATTTAAAAGAAAAAAAACAAATAACTTATAACACAAAAAAAAAATTTATTAATCAAAAAAATTATATACAAACATATAATTAATTTTTAATTAAAGTTTAAATTAATTTGCTTTTAAAAAAAATTTAATAATTTTTATATGACATGTTTTAATAGTTGAAAATTAAATCTTTTCTAGATTTTAATTTTGCAGTTATTAATGCTTGTCATATAAAAAGTTATTAAATTTAATTTAATCTAATTTAAAAATATATCCAATTATGAAAATATATTTTCTAATAAAACAATTTCATTTGCCCGGTGGCCGCGCAAGTATTAATTACTCTTAAAAAGTCTCTATAGTTGATTTCTTGATGAATGCCTGAAAATAAAAAAAAACATTATTTATCTGTTATCTTAGGGGGTTTCAGTAGGTCAATTTTTTTTCAAATTATGTTGAATTATTTAAAAAAATTAAACGGTATAACTTTTATGTAACATTTTTTTAATTTCGGGTATTGTTATTTCGAATTCAACAATATTCTCATGATCTACCATAGACCCACAGACTACTTTCGAGAGAGAGATTAACAGGAAAAATCATCAAACGAATCTGACGAAGAGCTTGATAAATACTATGCAGAGACTGTAGTATAGATTAATAGAACAAATCATCAATATCAAGAGAGGTTTGGATAATACTATGGAACTACTGCAACACAAATTTTAAAAGTGAATAAATGCTCTACTGGATTTATTACGTTGATACAAGCATTTGTTACGCTAATCATTCTGGGCATTTGGGCTAGGGTATTTCGTTCTTTCTTTATCATGGATCGCTATGGATACTGTAACCTAACAATTGTAATTGTTAACGCAACTGACTAAAAAATTTAAAGTATGTGAGATTGTAGTATCACTGTTGCTTATTTTAACTCAAAGATTATACATATAAATATTTATATAGATTATATATGATAGTACTAAATTTCTAATGAGCTGTTATCATGGACACGATAGGAATTTATAAGGAGTTCACTTTAACGAAAATGCGTCAAAAAATTTAGAGAAACGATAATCGAAGCAAATTCAGTATAATGACTTTACCATTGCTTTAACGGGAGAAAGGTTGAAATTTGAATTTAAGACTTAAGACGATGATAGAGTCAGTTTCTATAGAAATTTGTGAGAGTCTATCCGGTCTTGCCATATTTATGATATTCGTTATAGACTGAACTGAAATTAAGTATGTATATTGAATTATGCTAAATATTTGTATTTGGGAATACAAAAGTAAATGATAAAAAGGGGAAAGCAGCTGAGGTTTAGACCAACTATCAAATATTAAATATTTCTATGCAACAGTGACCCTTGAAAATTATGATTTTTAGAAAATTGGAATTAGTTCCATATAAATATAGTATATGGTATATGTCAGTTCATAACTTTTTTTTCTTTTAAAAAATAATTTTTTTAATTTTCTGTTTTGACTTTCTTATCCATCTTCCTAAAGTTGAGTTTTTCTTTTTCTGTATTTGATAAATGTAGCTATAAAAAAAATACTGTTTTACCTTTATTCATTCCAAAGCACTTATAAAGGACTTCGAATTCTTGCTCATTTAATCCGACATGCATGTATCGAGTTGTTAGTGCACGTCGAAATTGATTTCTTGTTATTGTCCCACAATTTCTTCTATCAAAATCTTGAAAGAGTGAGCCTAAATTTGATATATTATCATGTTTTCGTGCCAGCTTTCTCAAAACTTCGGAACAAAGGGTGCGTTCATCATAATTAAGCCAACACTTTTGACAATCTTGGTTTGCAAAGTGTAAAAGTGGATAGGTTGTTGTTACCTTATCCCCAGCTACGGTTTCAATTACTACAGATACTTTATTAAGTACTTCTCCAAAATTCCGATATAATATAAAATTAGGATGACGGGGCGATTTAAATCTGTACATATTAGGAAATTACAATTAACTTACGTTGTAAAGTTTTACAGGATGTTAACAAACAAAAATGGGATAACTTACGTTTCACAAAGGATATCGAA